CAGTGATTGAGGAAACTGGCTCAATTTCATTTTTGTTGTCAATTTGGTATTTCTGTTTCCCTGAGCTACTTTTTTCATTTTTGTTCATGCATCTTATTTTGTAATGCAGTTATTATAGTTACAGTACCTGTATTGTACTTCTGACAGTTTTAAAATATGAGGCTATTAAGACCAGCAGTGCAAAAGGCAAAAAGATACATTCAGACAATTATTCGGCCTTGCTGCAATTTTATTAAACATTGTTAAACAACACTTTGAAGGCTTAAAGGAATCACTTGTGAATGGTGAACATGGATTTGTTTTAACTTATTTCTCTCTAGTTCATTCTTCTAGCTAGAACTCCAACCTGCTGTGGCATTTTTTTCAAACAGAAACTCTAAAGTACTGTATAAAGTTGGCAAGCAAGTGTTAAGAAAAAAAGAGAACAAATATAACAAGCAAGAATTAAAAAAATGCAGACTAAATTTAAAGAGACTTAGATTTAAAAAAAAATCAAATAGATGACTAATATGGAAAAAAAAACTGCTTACACTGGAATTTAGAACCAGCTAAAAATAATTGAGATTATTAATTTTATTATTATTAGTAGTAGGGCCATTCTTTGCCTTGAGCAAGGTTATTCATGTTGTCATTCTGCAAGAATGCCAGGCATTTTGAAAAACATTGCTTCAGATGCACAAATGGAACCAGCAATCCTCATTTGTGGGAATACAATGAAATGTCAAAAGTGCTCAGTTGTGATCCTTTCTGATTCCTTCCTTGGTGCACATGTGTTTGCAGCACCACAAATTTGTACATGGATCCAGCAAAGACTGACGTTCTTTTCAAACTTGAAGTCTGGACACTTTTGTCTAGTCTCCAAATGGGGGCTGTGTGACTGGATATGGACTGGTAGAGGTTAGATATACAAAAAATCACAGAAAGGTGTTACAAAAGAACATGTGAACCTGAAGCAGAGTTGGCAGAGAGTTAGGGGCTTGAATAATCAGGTGCATTTCTTTTTAGTGAGACTATGAAGGTTTGATAGGAGAGAGCCCTTATACTGTATGAATTAATAGCAAACAAGGTTTCATGGAAGGCTTCTCAAATGTTGGGCATTCAGGTAGATAGCCAGAGGAAAGCATTTGTAAATATATTTTGTTACAGCAAGTATTTTTTTTGCAACACATAAAATACATTTTCCCACTAAATAAACATATATGTATAAAAATCTAAAGATTTTTTATTCAATGCTGGTAGCAGGATGAATTACGGACTCGGCAGCTATCAGGTTGAGCTCAGTGCATATTTTGTCACAGAGTTGGTGCAATATGTTAACAGTTAAAACAGGTATTTATAAATGACCCATTTCAAGAAGGAGATTTTCAGAAGAATCATAAATCAAGCAGGATAGGGAAAACACAGAAAATAGGTAGTTAGATTGATCAGATCCAGAGAAGTGGAAAGGCTGACTCCTTAAACCAGCACTATAAAATAATTTATCCTCAGTGAGATCCAGTCATCTCATAGTGTGATTCTATCACTGTGTATACAGTAGTTACACAGTGCCTTTAGTTCCATCCATTTTCTAATCTCTTTATCCTTTACAGAGTAGGTGGAGTCTATCCCAGCAAGAAACGGATGCAAGGCAGAATACACCCTGGACATAGTGTCTCTCCATGACACAGCAGACAAACAGACACAAACAGACTTAAACCTGGGTCAGAATTCCCATAAGCCAATTAACCAACCAGTATGTTTTGAACTGCAAGATGAAATTAGATTACCTGGAGAAAACCCACATGAACCCAGAAAGAAGATGCAAACTCCACACAAACAATACCTCAGGAATTGAACCTAGGGCATCAACTCGGCAAGATAGCGAAGCTAATCACTGCACCACCATTAAAAATGGATGGATATCTTAGTCATCTTTCTAGTTCAAAGGCCTCAGAGACACCTCGTACTACTGTTGTATTTATGAAAAACATACAAAAGGCATGCTAACCACTGTGCCATCCGATTCCTTAGTTAATATATTTAATTTTTATAAACAGTTACGATTGTTATTAATTGTTGATTTTTAGCAAAATATTTTAAATTATATTTTACCCAATTTCTTTATTAATTTTGTATTTTACTTATTATCTGGTAGTCAGATTTAACGTACATTTGAACAATGATTTGTAAAATAAATAAATCTAATTGGTGGGAAAGCTATGCTCTAAGTTAGTTAAGTGACTTAGAAGAGAAAGATAACAATTTAAGTTGTTTAATTTTAAAAACTAAGTGATGTATGTAGATGCAATTGGTACCATTCGCACTCCACTCTTTAGAAACCTCACTCCTGTTTATGTGCTCCTCCCTTTCTCAGTGCCGCCCCCCCAACGGAGCGCAGTGGGCGGTGAAATATTTTCACAGCCTCCGATTGGGGAAAAAAGACCTGCTGATCTGTCCTTCACAACAGGATGAGAAGAGAAGGTGATTTTTTCTGCATGAAATGTGTGTTGCTTTTATGAAATACAAGTATTTTAAATGTTTAATTAAAAAGTAAAAATCTT